ATTAGTGACAGAGATGCAGTTCATATAATAACTGCACTAGCAGAAGCACTTTAATTTGAAGTTAGCGATTTAGTTGTGAACAGATCTTCCATAAAATAGTATCACAAGCAATCGCTTATGGTTTAAAATAAACACTATTTTTGAAACATTTTTAACATCTGAATTAAATGCAATAGTCTTACACTGGGATGGTAAATTGCTTCCCGATTCAACCGGAAAACAAATTGTTGATAGATTGCCAATTATTATAACTAATAATGGTAGTGAACAACTATTAGGTGTACCTAAGTTATTACAAGGCACCTCGAAAGTTCAAGCAGAAGCTATTTACCAATGCCTAGCTGAGCGGGGATTAATGGATTACGTAAAAGCAATGTGCTCTTATACAACTGTGTCCAAAACGGGTTAGTATAGAAATACACAATTTTATAATTCTATAAATTAAACAAAAGAAAATACGATTCAGTTTATGATATTTGTATTTTTATTGTTTGTTGTTATGTTAAAGCGTGATTCAATGCGCCTAATACTTGTTTAGCACCACGCCAAGACTTACTAGTTTTGCATGACCTTTATGATTATAAGACAATATATGAAAATTTATCTGAAGTTACACAAAACAAATTTATCAATTACATTGATATTTGTCTCCAGAGTCAGTTAAATTTGTATTTTTCGATGATGAAATTTCTGACAATACAAAAATAAAAATGGTTCTAGCTTTGTAAAAAGATAATAATCTAGATGGAGACTGAATGTGTAGAAAAACATTTATGTGTACAATTAAATGAAATACCAAGTTTCATAAATCAAAGACGATTGAATCATTTATTTCAGATAAAACTTTAAATTATTTTTTAAAGTTCAATATAAATTATAACTTTATTGAAACATCGCCGTCAACTTTAGAGAACGATTTAGAATACAAACAAGGTAAAGAAATAATCAGCAAATTAGAAGTTGTAAATGATACTGCTGAACGACCTGTTAAATTAATTGTAGGTTTTAACAAGATTGGTTCAAAAAAATGAAGAATTCTTCAAGTTGTCATGGAATACAGTCAACCGTATTCAAATTCAAACAAAAGCACTTATGGAAAAATTATAATACTTGCATGAAAATAAAATATTGGTTAAAATGTATTAATCATTATAAATTGTTTATAAAATTAAAATTTGTTTTTCCTTATAAAATATGTATTTATTACTTAATTTGCTCGTTAATTTTATGAATTATTCAATTTTTAAAAAATATTAATAACCTGAAACTTTTAAGAGCTTTGGGGCACAGGTTAAACGTATCCAATTATGCTCAAATTTTGTATCCTTCAGTACATATTGGAACCTGATTAAGGGGATCGGTCACAAAAATTTAAATATTTAAAAATAAGGACTCCCTAATATATATACAATATAGCATGTAATTTATAATGATAAAATAGTAATTAATAAAAGTTTATTATTTTAGGCATATTAAAATTGGTGAAGAATTTTGCAATAGTAAATCAGAACAATTACAAAATGATACTAAAAAGTCTTGTATCAGTTATTTTCATGCTTATCATAAAAATTGTCTGGACGAGCTTACAATATTTTTTGAAAACGAAAGTTGGACTCCTTGTCCAGTGAAACGTGAATTTAATTTATTTCAACTGCAGGTAAGAAAATAAA